TTCACAAAAAATAATTGAATATCAATTCAATAAAAATTTAATTAATAAATTTATTATTAAGTTATGCCCCTATTATGAAAGCAATTTCCAGTCGTACAACGCAAAGATAAAATTGAAACATACATTGTGAGTTTTGAGTTGTGCTGTCTCGTCTTTTGCATTGTCATCTACGTCGTAGGCATTAGCGATTGGAGTGCTTATTTTGGGTATGGCGTTGGCTCTTGTAAGAATGTCTTCGGGTATCTCGTTGGTATTAGCATCAAGAATACCTATCTCGAGGTTATCTATTTCGTCGACGCTAATACCTAGTTGCGGACATAACTTTTCAACTGTTGACAAAATTAATGCCATTTAATTATTTTATTTCAATGCAATCATAAACAATTAAATAATATATATAAAATAGAAAAATACTTAACTAAAAACAAATTAAATACTTACTTTGATAATTAAGTAGGCCATCCACGTGTCTTAGAAAATCCAGGCTTTCTCTATTATTCGTGTTAGTTAATTTTTTGATGAAACGGGATGCCATCTTTATAACATCGTCGCCTGACATCTGAAATAAAGTAATAAATAGAGTTGAAGGTCTGTTCTTTGGACATTTCACGATCAATTGAACAATTGAAGTAAATATTCATGCGGCGTAGTCTTTTGATCTTAGTCAAAATAAGCGTAATAATAAATAAAAGGCAAGTCGGGTGGGTAGGTGTACTTGGAACCAGTCGTATTTAAAACACAAATCCTCACCTTAATTTCTCAAACTCGTGTCTTATAAAGAGTGATGATGATTAATATTCAGGAGATGGCAAAACTTTTTATTTATTTTAAACTTCTTACCAAGAGTGTTAATTTGGATGCATTACTTTAAGTATAGGTAAAAGCCAGTGTGTGAATATGAAGGAAATGTGATATCAGCCTGCAAGATTTGTATGTACAATGCATTTTTTGCATTGCAGTAATTTTGTGCTTTAAGGTACGAGTTAGAGAAAGTAAGGCGACGAAATGTAATGACACGAGAACGTTTTAAACGTGTAAAAATAAATACCTACTGGTATTTGTTTTTATTTTCAGTTTCCAAAATGAACAATTTAATTACTTTGTAGTTTATCGATTTTTTGGTCGAATAGTACATATTAGAAACTATTTTTTCAAACCCAAATCAAATTTTAAATTATAATATTCAATAATAACGAAAGGATTACCACCTCACCCGTTTAAAAATTTAAAATTTATCTTTTTAGGCCATGGGATATAGATAGATAATAATAATAATAATAACACACAGACTCATAGCCACGCATTACATACACACACATAGATAACCACAAATTACACCCAAACTCACGAGATAAATGAATGTAGGCCATTTAATATTTCTCCCAGCCCGGTAATCGAACCCAAGACCTCTGTGTGGCAGAGCAGCATGGTAACCGTTAGGCGACGAGACAGTCAAATTTTATATTAAATATTAGAAACATCACATACGTTGCTCTGACCCAAATGAAAGTAACAAAAGCACTTGTATTATGGAAGTCAGAAACAACGATGGTACCACACACACCCAGACCCGAATAATATACAAAAGTTAGTATTCCTACATAGACCTGGCCAGGAATCAAACCTGGGACCTCAGAGATGGCGACACCGTGAAAACCGGTATGCAACCCGCTCGACGACAGAGGACATCAAAAAATCGAATTTTTAAAGTTAATTTTAAAATCATCTTTACGGACTTAATATGTCACGATGACGGAAACTGAGCTGAAATGTCTGTTAAAAAAAAATATATACGCGATTTAGATACGAAAAAAATTGTTTAATTTCAAACTTAGTCAGCTATTCTCATAGCTGACTAAGTTCGAAATCGTTAGCTGAGTAAGTTGTAATGGGTAACTTACTGAGTCCGGGCATTCAAGAACCGACGCTAAATGGTTCAGAGCGTTGGAGTAGGCGCCTCTTCTCTCCCTCTCATAGTGGGCATTGCGCGCTTTCCGCTCTTCCTAACGACAAAACAGCATATTTAAATATCATAAATCTAACGGAATAAGGGCCACTTCTAAGCATTATTGCCTCGCCTTAGCGCCTCTTAAAGAGGGTTATATATAATGTACAGGGTAATGTAATCGTTAAGTGCGATTATTCCGTAAATATAAGAGATATGAAAAACCTTTAAACCGATATCGAAAGTTCGTTAGCTAATGAGTAAAACGACATTGATAACTTTTAAAAATTGAATTAGAAACGTACAAAATTTTAACGTTAAAGCTCCTTTACATTTAATATGACATTCGTAGAGAAGGTTTAGTTGACTTTAAGAGGTAATAATAGTTTACAGATAACGTAACTGCTCTAACAGTAGTTTATGTGACTTTGCATAATGAAAAACAGTGAAATTCGAGTGTGGGTTTATTTCATAAAAACGTCACACGAGTGTTTTAATGTCTAATTACGTACAGTTACTTACACTGCTATGAGCTCTCTAGGATGTGTTCAGGAACCGCAAGTTACGACTGACGAAATGGCGGCAAATAAAAACTTTTTTCACGCATGTCACACAACCATAGTTTTTTTTTAAATTTATTAAGGCTTTGGCAAAGCCATCAGCCTAAACATGAAGTTTGTTTCTGTAAATATGGCCACCACAAAAGGATAGGCAATTTGAGGCGGCGTGTTTGGATTGACTCGGGATTCCTTAAAACGGGCCGATACGGATATTCTAGTTCGAAATTCATATAATTTCACTTTTTAATCTTCGATTAAGGCACAATAGCACTATCCTATTCCACTTTAAACTAGATTTCACAAAATAATTGAAAGTCAAAATAAAAACGACACTTTTCCCTCCAAAAGATCCAGAGCGAATCCAACCATAGTTTTTATTTAATTCATAGACAAACTAGAATCAGCCCCAACTATCATATCGTTCGATATCAAGTAACGTGTTCGCTCTATCGCTGAATATCATATTCGTAAAATATCATGTTCGCAAAGCTTGATATTCTCAAGACATCACGTTCACGAAAAATGTTTGCTATTGACATTTATTACAATTCGAATAAAACTTTATCTTGACTCGAAAAATTTTTTGTTTTTCAGAGATGTTCGAAATATGAATGTCATAATAAAATTTGAATAATTTTCATATTATTGCATAATTATCATGAAATGGAATTTGATTATAATTATGCAATAATAACATTTTCACAGATAAGAAATTTGTTCTAATAAAACAGTTTATCTTTATGCTGGTCGTAATTTACGGTTTTTGAACACATCATAGAGGGTTTATGATATGTGTGTAGATAAATAAAATAATCAAACTCTCTTTTAAGTAATTGAATGATTGAAGAGATGAAAAGCACATAATTAAAAATAAAGAAGATAAGACAAAACGAGTATTGAGTAACAAACAAAAAATTACCTGAGTGAGTGGAACCCTGTTTTTTCCTTTAGGTCGTCCTCTTTTCCTTGGAGGGGCATCCTCCGAAAATTCCTAACAAAAGGAATAATTTATTACACTTAAGTAACAGGCACAATAACAGGAAAACGAAACACAATTCAAAAAATCATATTAAATAGAATTATGAACGAATTCATAGCTCACACTCAAAAATCACACACAAATTAATTATTTAAACCTACCGAGTCAGACATTTGGAATCTTTTAGAATCTAACTTATCAGAAAATTTAAAATACTGCAAAATAATTTTAAGAAAAATACACGCCAAATCAAGAAGCACTGGTTAACGTTAATTGCAAGTAGTGCAATGCGGGACATTTTTGAGTGTTGGTCTATTTATGCGTTTGCGCATCCCGCCCCCTGCTACCTGTTCGGAAATTCCCATTGGCGCGAACGAGCTCCAGTAAACGGGTTGTATTATATACCCTTTGTTTCTAATACAATGAGAAAGGTTTGAGGTAGGACAGGTATGTACTTAAAACACTTTCTTATTTTTGCTATGTATTTATTACATTTCCAATTTTTAAAGTTTTAACATAGTATAAGAGCAAGTAGAGCAGCTTCCGTCTGTTCTCGCTGTTCGCGTAAATGCTTGGAGCGTAGGCGTGTCACATTGTCAATTTAGATTATATTACAGGTTGTAAATATGATTTAAAAAAATTAAAGTGTTTATCACAGTATTCTCGTGCTATTTTGAAATAAGCTTTGTTAAATGCAGAACTTGAGTATTAGATAGTATAGACGTGAGTCCCATGGACGTGTATCCATGGGACCCGCGACTCGGGATTTTCCTAGTGCGGGGCTACGATATAAATTTCAAATGGACATGAAATATTGAACAATTTTTAAATTGAGTCACTATTGTTCAAACCATCATATTTTTTGAAGACCGAATTTTATAATAAATGGCACGTGAGACGACCCGAAACTTATGCTACGTGAGACTATACGAATACATACAAACAGCGCTGCTACGTTGATACGGAGTTACTCGGATTATTACATTATATTATGGTTTTAGTAATAATACATGGCAATCGCTAAAACTTTTTATTTTTAAACTGCTGTTTCTTTACATAATTGAACTTCGTAGTGCGTAACGATTCTTACAATTTGAATGAAAATGAATTATTCACATTCGAACATGGAATATGAAGTACAGAATAGAGCTATGTTAATAAGATTTTTCCATCAAAACTGAGGATCGTCCGTTCATTGCTAAAGGGAATGATAACATGTTATCATGGCGTAGTACTAAGACTAGTCTAAGAAAGCTAATGAAAATTGTACTTTGAAAATATGATGTTAATAAATCAAATTAGATTTGAACGTCCTTTAGGATATCTTCAATCTGGATTGAGGGCTTCCTAAAGGAATTAGACTAGGGAATTCTCGCGCATACTCGAGAATCCTCGCGCACTCGCGAGAATTCCGCGGAAGATTTTGGCTCATATCTAGCCATACAATTCACCATAAACTTCATTGAGCTATATACAATATCGTTACAAAAGTTGAGCCATAGTGTAATAAGGCCATATCTGCAAAATTACAGCTTTTCAGAATAAAGTTTTAAAGAATCTACGAACTAAATTAGTCGATAACTTTTAAGAGTTCTAAAATTACATATATAACTAATTTATTACATGTAGTTCGTGTTGGACAAAGAAAGATATAGAAAACTGACTGCCTACCTTTAATAACGGGGAGGCACTTGAAGAAGTTTGTGTTATTTTTATTACTTTCGTGTGATAAAAGCTCTCTTGACATATACGTGAAGAGTGATCATAATCACACGTGGCTTTCCAAGGACATGATGTCATTATCCAAGAAAGTATATATACGCTTCTTGTCATTATTATTTAGAAAGCGTATAGTTAGCTAATTAATAATTTTAATGAACAACCGGACTCGTCATCTTTTCTGTAGGTACGTAAGGTAAGGGCGCGTTCCCACTATGTCGTGACGACAGATTGTCGTGCAGTTTACAGTGTCGTGGCTTGTATATTTAAATGAAGTTGTTCACATATAGCACGACACGCTTAACTGTCATTCACGATTTTTATCGTTACAACGACATACTGTCGTCAAAGTGAGAATAGCTAGAACGACAGTCGTCGCACAATAAAAAAACGTCACGATAAAACGTGACGACAGATTGTCGCAGCTCCTATTGTCGCCACGTTTTATTTCTCGCTGTCCGCACGTATTCTGCTCCCTGCCCTCCCCTCTCGTACCCCGCGCCCTCTGCTCGCTTTGCAGTAGCGTTGGGTCGTAGCCAGAGATGAGCAAGGAGGCTGTCGTGAAACGATAAATTGTCGTCACGATCTTGTGAGAACAGCTAGTCACGACAGTCGTGCAACGATAAAAAGTCGTCCACGACAGATAGTCGTGATATGGGAACAGGCTAGACACGACAGTTGTCCAACGATAATAAAACGTGACGACATAACGGGAACGCGCCCTTAATAGATAGCCTAAGTGATATTATATTTAGTTTACTTATTTTGTACTTACAGCTATTTTTATAGGACCATCCCAATACAATAGTACACCATTTCTATTCACTTAAAAAAAAGTAAAGTGGATCCCTAAAGTGTAAATGGGTTGGCCATATTCAAAGACTTACAGATAGAAGGTGGTCACAGACAATCACGAATTGGTACCCGCTTTATAAGCAAAGAAGACGAGGTAGGCCATCAAAGAGGTGGAGCGATGATATTGGAGAAATAGTAGGAACGCTAAGGCCAAGGCAGAGTCTGTTGGAAGAACTTAGAGGAGGCTTTCACCGCCAAAGGCGGCCATTACACATAACAATACTAAATGTAAATTAAGATAATACTCACCATGCTAATACACAGAATAAGCTGTAAGTAAATACGTAAAATACTGTAACTATTGCATTTAAATTTCAAAGAATAAATAAAGCTATAAATAAAAAATATGTTAAAAGTAATAGCTCTAATGCTTAATTACATGCCCGTAGAAGAATAGAAATGTATGTAGCGTTGCTTTTATGAATTGGCTCTCAATACTATTAAAAATCTGTAGCTATGTAGATAAAAATTGCAATCGTGTTAGATCGAAGGAATTTTTCTTTATAATAATATTTTATCATTTATTTTTCGGACAACATAAATCCATATTACTAATTAATAATACACTTACAAACAACACACATCAAAAGTGTCTAGGGATCAAGTGAATATTTTTGAAATAAAAATTATTTAAGCAATATTTACCAAATCCAGTCTTCCAGGACGACTTCTTACTTTAATGCTTATGTTTTATTTAACCGCTTACCCCTATATTTAATTAAAATAAACTAAAATTGATGTTTTTGCAAATTGTGGGAAAAACTCAAATTAACGGCGTCAATTAAATGACAAAAAAATGGCGAAAATGATGATTTTGCTCATTTTTATTGTAAAGATAAGAAAATTAATAATCTGTATTTCCACCATTAAGCCAGTAGAAATAACTATAATATTATTTTTTGAGATAATAATTTACATAATTAAAATAAATTTATTATTTCCTATTATTGCATGTACTCAATAGGAAATAATAATTTGTGACCAATGTACTCAAATATATCAATAACCCTCATATTAAAATATAGTCAGTTCTGAGAGTTCCGGTATGATGTACAATACAATACAATTGAGAATATCCACATTATTCTTTACGTTACTCGAAGTTTAGGTTATGTAATTCAATTCCGGTGACTGATTATAGCATAGAAAAGTTAAAAACCGCATTAGACAATATCAGTTGTGGTAATGGCAACTGAAAATAACACGAGGTCAGGTACACACAACAATACGGCCCCTTAGTACTTTGTTGACAAAGGGAAAGGGGTTTCCATTGTTGAGCATTAGCTAATAACTTGCCTAATAATGGTCGCCCTAAAGCTCATTAAATAGTTAGTGTTTTATAAAGCGATAATAGCATTAAAGGGAAAAGAAATTTACCGAATAATTTTGCGACATTGATAATTCTTGGAAGCTATAATAAGAGTTGTTTTTGAATTGTGACAGTAAAATCTAATAATACCTACTTACTATAACTCCTCTAAGCTTTAAGGAATAATGTATTTGCGAGGATAAATAAATTAACGTTAGAATTAGATACCTGCTCACCCGACATTGCCTAAAAGCTGTTGATCCTTGGTATGAAGGATTCGTGTACGATAAGCCATTCTGTTATCGGAGATTTCGAAATATCTATTTACATATATTTTAGTGCATATTCTACGTGTATTACGTTAAGAGTATATACATTATTATTATTTTATGATACCAAGTCACGGGACGAACAAGTCGTGTGCCTGGTGGTAAGCCATATGCCAGTCCAGAGCAGTGGCAGTGCCACTCAAACCTTTACATTGCAAAGATTTGAGAGGCACTGCAACTGTGCCCGTCACCTTGAGATATAAGTGACAAGTCCTATGTGCCCGCAATTTCTCCAGTACTATTACCCTTCAAAATCGGAACGCAAAAATGCTAACTTTACTGCTTGGCGGATAAATAGGTAAGGTGGCAGTACTTCCCTGGACGAACTCTTTCTTAAGGTGCTCTACTGCTACTGCAAGTAAAACGCATTATGTTGCATTCGAAAGCGTAAACAAGAAAGAGGTTCTCAGTTCGATTGTGTGTATGTTACGCGATTAGTGATAGGCATTTGTGAACCAATTTTCATGATTCTTTTTCGTTGGAAAGAGGGTAACTCCCTATTAATGTCATTTATATTTTGAAGAAAATATGCCACTTCTAAGGGCGCATTTATACGACACGAATTTCCTCGCGCTCACCCCGCGCGGCCGCCGCCCGGCGACCGTTCAGTTACCACGCCTTCATGTATATTAATGACGAATCTGAATTCTAATTACTGCTTCTATTTAGCCGCCGCGCGGCGTCCGCGGGGTAGATTTCTTCAGAGGAATTTAAATGTTGATGCCTAGTAAATAGAATTCAGATTCGTCATTAGTACATGACGGCGTGGTAACTGAGCGGTCGTCGCGCGGAGGCCGCGCGAAAACTTTCTCCTCGTGTAACTGGGCGCGAATCCTGTTTGCGTACTCAATAAAACTTAGCAAACAGATGTAATTCCAATAAAAAAGCCTATAAGCAAATGTTTGATGTCGTTTTTTTTTATAAAAATGTTATATTTATTGTAGATAGGTTTTTATTATTTGTTATACAACAGACAAATGAGCTTAAGAACATAAACCTAATTGGGTTTTACCGTACATCGTCATATCGTTGCACAAGTCTTAAATAAATACTAGTTGCTATGATATTGTGAGTTGTTTTTCTACTAGGTATATTTTTTATTATAATCGCGATGGTACTTTCAAAAATTTAAACGTGCAATTGAATAAAGAACTTGTCCGCGCAGTGGTGTGCGTGCGTTTAAGCATGAACTACTTAAAGCTACTGAATCAACAAAGGATTGAATTCCTGTGTGTGTAATTTAGTAATAATAATACGTAGTCTTAATACATTATGATGAATTAGGATGACCTGTGTTCAGTGCCAACGATTTTAAAGTACACGTCTGCGATGTCTGTGATGTAGTGGCGTATGGGCGTAGCGTCAATTTTTGCCGTACGAGGTGGGCCATCCCGAAATTCGCTGCCACCTTCAATTTCACATTTACAAAATTAGTTCGTTCGGACAGAACAAAATGAGTTAATTTTATAACTTTAATAATAAAATTAAAAATAACGGTAACAGTAGGACAGGTGATTTCCCAGTCTGGCGAATTGAAGCGATTCTGTGGCATATTAACAACTTATTAAGTGACTTTTCCTCCCCCCGCCTATTAAATTCATAAAGTGACAACGCGTCCATATGAAAAAGAGGTCGTCTTTAAATTCAACTGTATGCCGCTTAAAATTAACAACGATTGAAAGTTGAAAGTATCAAGACTACATTGATGTCAAAAGTAACACCACAGTATGATAAGATACGGTAATAACTACCGCCTATTCGGCGCGACTATGCAATATGTGAGTTTTTATAGTATTATACCTTACAAGTTACGATATTATAGTTGAAATTTCAATTTCGTTGCTACAAAAACAAAGCTGCCTATAATACTTCGGTCGGAGCGTATAGGGCTGTTTCATTATTATTTTAGTTATACGTAGGCTGTAAACATAATTATAAAAAATTTTGGTGTTCATAACAGTATTCTCGTGCTATATTGAAATAACCTTCGTTAAATGCAGTACTTACAATTGATATTTTTATATCAGGATCGCGGATCAGTATTTCGATTACGGGAGGGTTTCTGAAATAGAAATGAAATACTGAATAATTCTAGGCACTCTTGTTCAAAGAACCATAAAAAACAATGAATATACATTTTTTTTTTACTTTTGACGTTATTTTTTAAGCACCGATTGAATGCTTAAATTCCATATACATATAAGAATGGCGCGTGTGACTACCCCCGCCTAGCAACGCGAGTGCACAGCGAGATTACGCGAATGTGTGCGTCCGTATACGGCGCTCAGCGGGCGTGCATACATGCTGCTACGTTTATATGCAATTACACTACTTGTATTATCATCCTACAGTAACACTAGTATATAATGGTACCATTTCGGAATAGGTTGAATTTATTGCTACAAATCTCCTTTAAGTATTATACTTAGTTCTTTTTTAATTAGAAAAAAGTTAACAAAGAAGCAGTGATGGGAAACCATTTTCTTCAGCCAATAAATTACAGCAAAGGAAAACGTAGTGAGATGACAAATGATATTTACAAATGACACCCTCTAATATGTTATTATTTTACGAGTATAAAAATCTCAGCACAAATAACTAAAAAACCGACCTCAAAAGTCATTCATCCCCTGGTTTGCCACCCTTAGAGGTGGAATATTTTCTTCAAATTTAAATGGAACCACTTCTGAGATATCCTCTTTCCAAAACAAAAATGAATCATCAAAATCGCTTCACAAATGGCCGGAGTACACACGTACACAGTCTTACTTTAAAAGCAAACAGAATTGAGAACCTCTCCCTTTTTTTAAAGTCGGTTAAAAAGTGTCTATTCATGTTTGGAAGCTGTTTATTTAAATTTTTATTAATGCAGTTGCTCTAAGCGTGGTATTTTTCGTACTACAAATCGTGCCGAAAGTTGTATTTGTCGCACTAGTGCTTTTTACTTTTCCATTTTTTTAATTTACTGTTGTTTCAAGTCTTAAACATAGAACTAAAGAGGTTGTATATTTATTTATATTTATGTGCTTTGTGACGTAACTCATTCGTCATTAAAACTTATATTTACTTACAAACATCATAATTGTTTAAATTGCATAGGTGTTTTATAAACATTGGGTTACCGGCAACAGTTGCCATTGTACTCTGAATTTTTATCAGACAAAGAAATAAAATCAGTTTTTTTTATTTTGTTTTATTTTACTTTCAATGTAGTAATGTACAATTCGCAAATGTATTAAAAAACGTCGTTTGATACAAGTGCGGAATTGTCATTTTCACTTGTCTCGAGATACCTGGAGTCGTGAATAATGACTAACTTTCCGCACTTGTATTAAAAATAACTATTATAGTGCAAGTTTTTGAAATAAACAAAGATAATTTTTCATTTAATTTATAACAGTAAGTGCTACGATTAAAAAAAAGTAATAATTACGTAAAGGTAATAAATATTTTTGAGATTTTTGTATTACGTTATTTATTAAATTACTTAGCTTGCAAAATGACTGAATAAAATGGCGCCTGATAAAAGATCCAAAATTTTCTTTTGTATAACGCTAAAAAAACAAAGTACGACCATATCTCAGAACAACAAACTATTGTAAATAATGTTATAAACTATAATTATAGCAAGAAAACTGTAATGGAAAATTTATACATCCCGTATAGGTATGTTTTCTTCCTGCCATGAATCTAGTTGATGGTGGGTGTAAAAACGTTTGTAGGGGTTGTTTCTCCGATCGTTCCAGGTTCGTTAAAGGCACGCTTGCGACACCGATAGTGGGTATACATTTCAAGTAATAAGAGGAAGGGATTTTACTATATATTTATACCATATTTTAAGTCGTACTGTACACGGATCTAATCGAAAAACCCAAGTTCCAGTGCTAAGGAACTTTTATATATTTAAGTATATCTTCAAAATTTAATGAATATTTTCGGGAAAAGCAGATGGGCTCAAAGTTGAGAAATTTATAAATCTGACCTAGATTTTGATTAAGCAAAGATAGCGAGTTTTTTCTCGACTTTGCCCAAATTTTTTTCAAAGTTTGGAGAATTGCCTAATTTTTTTCGAATTTAGAAAACAGACGATCTTGGTAGCTCAACGGTTTGCAATGTGGTCACTGGATGCGGAGAACCTGGGTTCGATTCCCGGTAAGACCAATTTGAGAAATGAACGTTTTCTAAATTGGTACTGTATCTGAGTGTTCCGGTTATTGCCATGGAGTGAATTTCATTCCTCTGGTATTCATAGTACAGGTGGTTGGTGTTGTTATCTGGCAAATTATTATTATTAAAAAACGAACTTTGCCTAAATTTAACAATTAAATTAAATTTTGTGTTTACTTAGTCATTTTATTTAACTAAGATAAATTCTTGCTTAAACTTAGGCCAAGTTTGTTTCGTAAATACTAAAAATTTGTTTATCTCACATCTTTGCTTAGTTAAAGTTTTTAGTGCAAGCTTTTGTCGTGAATCTGATTAGATATTTAATAAAATTAAATTAAAATAAAATATAAAAAAACAACTTACGATGTTAATCGCCACAACCATTTTTAATATATTTCTGAAGCTTTATTCCGTTCACGAATTCCACTTTTTATGTCTATTTTAATCAAATTACTTTCCTTGTCGTTGTTATGATTTTATGTAATATTAAAATAAACACTCGAGTCTATGTCTTGCGCCGCGTAAGCTAGGTTTGCTCAGTCGCTAGCAACGTCGCTAACAAGCGCTCTGGCATCATACCTACCCGCATTTTTATTTTTGCTAGAACATATGAACATTATACCGTTATACATTCGTTATATTTTTACCTAACTAAGCGCAACAAAAAAAGGACTACAGACGGCTTTTCATATTCATAAATGCAAGAAATAAGTAACGAGTGAAGAATCGGGTCCCAAGTCTGCTAATTTTCCTTACCTATTTCTGCCGCCAAGCAGCAACGTCAGCATTACTGCGTTCCGGTTTCGAAGAGTAAGGGTGCTGGTAAAATTACAGGCATATGGGACTTGTCAACTTATGTGTCAGAATGAAGGGCGCACTGGCAGTGCCGCACAGATCCTTGTGCTCTTAAAGCTCTGAGTGGCACTGGCGCACACAGGCGCACGATATTTGTTCGTCCCGTTCCCTAATATTATTAAAATAATAACGCACACACACACTCAACATAGCCCCGCACTAGGGAAACCCTGTGTCGCGGGTGCCATGGACACACATAGACAACCACAAATTACACCCAAACTCACGAGAGAAATAAATGTAAGCCATACAAACATTTCACCCGGCCCGGGAATCGAACCTGGGACCTCTGCGTGGCAGTGCGGCATGGTAACCGTTCGGCCACGGAGGCAGTTAAAAAAACTATCTACGTAAAAAAAAACTTCCGCTTGGATATTTTTGACTCAAGATTCAGAATATTTAAAGAAGTAGAACTCTTAATTACTTAACACTCACATAGGCATTCACCCAAACCCATTTCGTTTTTGTAATTAGTAAATTAGTGAGTATATTAATAAGTAAGGAAATTATTAGCCAATTGTGAACAGTAGATCTTTCTTGTTACTTTATAATGATGTGTCAACATAAGTAGGGTTCAAAAAAGTGCAGAACTTATATTATACTTAACTCTTATCAATGTAATTCGATTGTATCTGTTTTGTTACCCATATAATATATAAGTAAATAAACTGCATTGGGTTATTTTACAGGATTTATCACGGAGAGCGTGCAATTGGATTACACGATTTAATTCCCCCTTCCCCTTTTCATCAACGGGGGACTACACGTAGGCTTGGATTCCACCCCTATGTTGTGGATATTCCACAGATTCGGACTAAGCGTTACTTTTTTTTTTTCGTTGGCTATGGAGTGGAATTCCCTGCCTGCAGACTTGTTACCTGAACGTTGCAGCTTGGACCTTTTTAAGGCGAGAGTGAATAGGCATTATTTAGTGTGCGACGTTGGAAGACCTCATCACTTTCCATCAGGCGCGATGGAAGTCAAATGCGCACTTACATTTGAATTGAAAAATCTGTTACCAGGTTCAAAAAAACAATAGAAAGAAATAAAGAAAATAATATTTATTCAGTAAAAGAGTTACAGCACAGTACTTAATAATAACACTTTTTATGATTTAATAATAATAATAATAATATATTGTTCCTATTTATTGGACTAAAAAGCCATCAACCAATAAATACAATAAACTTTCGAGAATATATGGAAAAGGCTGTTGCTTGTACAGTCGTTGACTAAAATAGATTTCTCTGAGCTGTAACCAGTAACGACCGACAATAAGCAAGTGCAAATTGCTTATAACCTGTCTTTTTGAAGATGGAGTAAAATGACAGTTCATTGCTCAAAAGTGTTGCCCGCTTGGAGCAGTAACCTGATAAATATTCTATCGACTGAATATTGGTCGCTCTTATGTAATAAATAGCCGAACTTGTTACATTTGAAGCATCATCGGTGCATATGTCCACAGGAACAGGTACATTTGAATTGTCAATTTTTGTAAGTTCATACTTACATACACTGCGTTTAGAACTATGACTTTTAAAAATACAAAGAGGAGACATGTTTTAAAGTTTTTAATTTTAATTCTATATAGATAATCAAATTCGCCTGTTCTTTTTAAAATGTATATGAGTAAAAATTTATTTCGTACCTTCGTACAAATTTATTACTAGTGAGTAATTAAAATGGTCTGGTTAAATTACAAGCACATGGAACTTGTCAATTTATGTCTCAGGGTGGCGTTCGCAGTGGAAGTGCCCCTTAGATCTTTGCGATTTGGTGTTCTGAGTGGCACTCTAATTGTTATGGACAGGCGTGTCGCTTACTACCAGGCGCACGACTTGTTCGTCCCGTCACCTGGTATTATAACAAAAAAGTAGGGCAACTGTCAAAATAAGATTAAAGAAGAAAATAATGCAGTAGTCATTAGAAAGTCGTAATATTTACAAATCTGATATTTTTGGTAAAATTTTTACTTTCTGTCAAAATCTATCGTTAAACTGTCGGCAACAACTACATGCCTATTTAAAATTTTATGATAATTTGTAACCTTGCAAATGTTATGTTACTCCGTCTTCCAAAAAGACAGACGTACGAGTGAGAGTGGTATCTTATTATGTTATATTCCGAGTGCGGATTTGTGAAATACATAATACATAAAACTTATTAATAAATAATTAGACTAAGTGACTTAAATACATTATGTAACAAAAATCATATAATAGTGTTCGCTGTGCTTTTAAGGAATACGTCATCCACTCAGCTTATTGTCGTTCCACTGAAAGTGCTACGAAGTTGGTTTTCAATAGACCCGATAACAGCATACAGTATTTTACTAAATAGGTATATTCGAGTGCAATGAATTTGTAAACGTTCACATATTTTCGATGATGTGTAAATATAAGATATTACAAACATAAGTACCTCGTGTTGTGTTCAAAAATATGTGATCAAAAAGGTACTTATACTTTTATTTCAGAGAATAGTAAACAAACTACAATCAGTGAAAAATATACACTCCTGGTGTCTTTTTAACTGACTTCATAAAAAGGAGAAGTTTCTCAATTCGATTTTCTTTTTTGTTTATTTTTTATTTTTGTGTTTGTGTTACGCGATTACTCCGACACTTGTGAGCTGATTGCGATGATTCTTTATTGTGGGAAAGTCGTCTCATTCAAATTTAAAGAAAATACTACCTCTAAGGGTGACAAATTGGGCAATGAACCCGGTTCATTGGATTTCACCCACTTTCCGCTAACCGATTTCAATAAAACTTGGCAAATAGATTTTTTTTACAATGCCAAGCGACGGAACGAACAATTCGTGCTTGCCACCAGGCGGTAATAAGCGACACGCTATCATAACAATTGCTGTGTCACTTAGAGCTTTTAATCGTAAAGGTCTGAGGGGCACTGCTACTGCGCTCGTCATCCTGAGACACAAGTTGACAAGTCCCATGTGCCTGTAATTTCACCAGCACCCTCAATCCTTTAGAACCGGAACGCAGTAATGCTAACATTACTGCTTAGCGGTAGAAATAGATAAGATGGCAGTACTTTCCTGGGCGAACTCTTGCACAAGGAGCTCTACTGCCACTATAATAATTGATGTAATTCCACAAATTATGAGGTCGTTTTTTTTTTATAAAAAAGTTGTAATAATATTAGTATATTCATACTTTCGTAAATATTTGTACTATGCATTTTCATTAAAATGTATACAATTTAGTTAGGATTGTGATTTAACAGAATTAAATAACCATTTTTAAAACTACGGAATTTCACAGATTCTATTTTCAAATTTTCAAAGTTTAGTTGCAATATAGAAGTATAGTGTGTACTTACATATACAAGCGCCAGCTGTTTATTTTTTGTGTGTATTTTGCTAACTCGGGCGGCAAAAACATCAATTTTATTTAGTTAAACTAACCTCAAATAATTACCAAGTCATGCGCAATTATTTCAATATTACTCATTTAGGTATAACCCATAAAAGTATATACAGCCATACACGATATGGCATGCGTCTCGTTACTCAATATATCAATTTCACTGTACCAATGCACTAATGTCAAAGCCGTGGCTATCTAACCACGCCAATAAAGTCGAATATTCATCATAGTTCCTTCTGAGACAGTCTTCACTAATGTTTGTCAAAGCTTCCAGGATAGATGTGATGAATTTTGAAAGAATATCAGATTGATTTGTTACCTGGAACAAGATAATTCAAATTTCACACAATAAGCAGCATTTTACTCAACTTTTTTAATCCCCGACTCGAAAATAGGGGAGTTATGAATTTGAAGTCTTAGTTTGTGTATCTGTTCGTGGCGTCGTAGCTCTCAAACAGAAGGACTAATCTCAAGGCGGCCTTTTTATTATATTATTTGTTTAACTATTATTTTATTCATCATCAGAAATACCTTTATTGAAAAGTATCGAAATTAAAACATAATGTATTTTTTAAAGTTTTAGGATAAAACTAAAACGGTTCACAATTAAAAATGTAACATCTTAACATAAATGAAATGAAAATTATAAAAATAAACACGAAATTTTCAAGAACGCAAAATTTAACTCTAACAAACCTGAATTAATACGAATTAAAACAAATACATAATAACAATAATAACAAAATATATATTTGTTCTTTCACAAAAAACACGAAATATAAATACAGGTTGATTGATAATGGTGCTGCGATCCGGATTAAGAATATTCGCGCAAGGAGTTACTTTTGATTCCTACACTAGGCATAGTCTGTCCTGTAGGCGTGGATGCCTGTAGGCAACCAAATTTACAGATAATTAAATTACGTAAGGCAAAATTGTCTGTAGAAACAATGAGTATACAAAATAAAGGAAAACAAAGACAGCTGGCAAATTTTTTACTTTCGAATTCGATCTAAAATAAAAAATTACCTTCGCAACTGTGACAATGTCATTGAAAAAAATTACATGCCAGGTTACTCACTTATAGTTACAGGTAGACACTTACCATATAAGTAATCACCGCGGCCATGACGTC